CTGGACACGCGGGACACGGGGCGCGGGGGGCGCAGTGGGAGGGAGGGTGGGGTCGTGGACCGTGCACGCAGAGAGGGAGGGGTGACTACGAGTGTCCACATGGGGTCGCGGTGGCGGGGCTCTGCTGGAACGTGTTCCGTGGGCGTGCCCACGCAGGACCGGGAGTCAGAAGACCAGCGCACTGTGCAGGAGGGGACCTGCTTTTAGTCGGTTGCTCCTTCTCTGATGACTAAAATGTTGGAGGTGCCTTGCCTGAGGTCCTGTCCACAGTATTAAATGTAGCCCTGACTGGGATGTCAAGGTTTGTGGTGGTCACCAGGGACCTTACCTATTGGCCCACAACTCCCCAGTTGCAGGTGCTCTTTGTTGTTGTTATCATGATTTTTTTTGGTTTTGCCCCTACACCCACCCACATGTAGCCCAAGCTGGCCTCAGACGGCCTCGGCCTCGTTAGTTGCCACTGACTTTGGCCTTCTGGTTTCCCCCCAAGCGCTGGGGTTACAGTCACTGATTTGCTGTTTTTCTGTTGAGTCAGGTTGGTCGGTCATGCAACCCAAGCTGGCCTTGAACTGCTCTTCCTGCCTCAGCTTCCAAATGTTAGGATTGCAGGTCCTCACCCTCATGTCCTACCAAGCAAGTACTTTTTACTTGCACATACAGGGAATACATGAGAAGATGCTAGAGAACCCATAGAACCAAGCCTCAGTGCTTGTCAGGGTCTGTGTATGTCCTTGGAAAGAAGAAACAACTTGTTTGCTTTGCACCAGGGAGTTATTGCTGAAATCAGGGTAGTAATCGACTTCAAATGGCCCTGGTGGAAGCTGGGCACCCCTCAACATGGTTCCCACTACTCCCGACAGGCCAGGTTCCTCCAGAGCTGCCCATCTGTGCTAGTATGGTCAGTCCCCCGACTGATCGTCACCAAACATTCCCATGGTGACCGCCCTTAGTACTGCCCCTGGATTCGAGTGACAGAACTCAATTCTGCCCACAGTGAATGTAGAGGGACATGAGCAAGGACAGGCCAGGGTTCTTCATGGAGGTAGTAGCATGGAAGGGACAATGGCTGGCCTGTGGCCTGCAGGGGGAGGGCAGGCAGACTGACTGAATGATTGACAGAGGACTTGGCTCAGTGGCAAAGTGCTGGAGAGTGCTGGGGAGCAGTGGCTACCATCTGAGATGGGAACCTAGGGGACAGACCTCAGGGATCTAATGTTGCTTTCTCAGTAGCTTTGCTAATTCCCAGGGCTCTGACTCTTTCAGAGTCTCTCTGCTGCATATATTAGGTGGGGACATTTACAACGATTTTGTGGGAGTTCAGGAAGAACCAATGTACCTGTGCCATTTGGCACTGTCACCCTCCTGAGTGACAATAAAGAGATGGCTCAGCACTGACTGCTCTTCCAGAGGACCCAAGTTCAATTCCCAGCACCAGTATGGTGACTCCATTATTCCCAGGGGATCCAATGCCCTCATCTGGCCTCTGGTACACAGACATACATGCAGACAAACACTCATACACATAAAATAAAAATAAGTAAAATCTAAAGAAAAACCCTTTTTGAATCTGTAGACAAGCTTCATTGAACTCACAGGCCTGGGAACCCCCTGTGGTTTGGGATTTGTTTTCAGCTGGCCTTGAGGATCCTAGACTTCAGCTTTGCTGGGATGAGGATCCTAGAGGGTCTAGGGAAGATGCCGTTCGCCATTTTTGCATCTCCCCACCCCCAGCCTTACAGTCTGTCCTTCCTGTTGCCAGAGTGGGGCTCCTATTGGGCCCCCCTTCCCTGCACCCTATTTTCCAGTTATGGGTGTGGTGTGGTAACATCGCCCAAACAAGACCGTTGGCATCCTCTGAACAGCTATGCAGGACCCCCTGTCCCCACCCCCTCGGGTGACTCCCCTGGGTGGCCAGCCCATCTAAGGGAACCTTCCTGCTTTGTCAGAGTAGTGTGCCCTTTTCTTGGACCTTGTCGTGTCTGCTAGATTCCTGCCTTCTGCTCACCTTTTCCAGAACACTGTGGGTAAGGAGGCAGAGATGAAGCAGAGACATGTTCTGGAGATGAGGCTGTGGGCAGGAGGAGTGAAGGCCAGCATATACGGGTTCCTTCCAGGGAGCCATCACCTAGGTGAGATGTCCTGTGACATCAGCTGCCTAGGCTCTGCTCTGTAGAGCAGCATCCCCTACCCCAGCAAGCAGGCTTCTCATATCCTTGCCAGTACCGACCTTGTAAATTTCTACTGTGGGTTTCTTCCAAGTGTTTATCAGAGGGGAGGCTTCTGGGTGTGCACAGTGGGAAAGCAAGTGGCCCATGATAAGCCAGCGCTACCAACTGATAGCAAACAGGCAGAGTGTAGGACCTCAGGGAAGGAAGGGTGGCCCAATAAGAAGGACAGGTGTCAGCAATGGAAGGTAAGAGCCTTTTCCAGGGTCAAGATATAGGATCTCCACTTCTGTCACCCAAAGGCAAGAGAGGAGACAGATTGGTTCTGCCTGCCTTGCTGATCTTCTCTAGGGCTGAGTGGCAACTTGCCTCCTGCCGCTTAATCTCCTTTCTTCTCTAGAATCACATCAAAGCCATCAAGTAATTTGTAACCGTTCAGGCCTTTTCAGAACTTGAGCCTGGGTTAGATTCTGTTGTGGGACTGCAACCAAGGGCCACCTCTGACCTTCAGCTGTGTGTTCCTGTAGTGGGGTGCAGGCCAGTGACTTTGAGGGGTGTGGGAACCCCAGGCTTTTCTTTGCAGCCTTGTCTACTTAGGGTGGATACAAACACAGGTGTGGCCATTTAAAACTATTGTTTTTACATTTGATTTATGTATTTATTTAGTGTGTTCACGGGTGTGGGTGCACACATGCTCCTGGCACACATATGGAGGCCAGAGGATGACTCTGAGACTCTTGGTTGTATGGCCCCTAGGCTTCTGTGTAGGAGCAGCTACATAGATATTCTGGTTGCTATAATGAAGAGTCACCTTTCCCACTGAAAGGTGTGTAGACTGAATGAAAATGGAGTTTTTGTTCTGTCTCAGGACACTGGGTGAAGTCTTAGGCTCTGAGACTCCCTTTGGGAGTTAGGGAGATTTTCTGCAAAGATGGCCGCACACCCTGACAGCCAGCCTCACCACATGCTGGTTTCTGATTTGCGCAGACAGTGTGGTCACCCTGACTGCCCCAGGATATGGTTCCCATCTTAATAAGCTTTGTACCACACAGAACTATATGTAGCTGCTGGCCCGTCAGAGAGCAAGGTCAAGGACAGGTTCCAGCAGCTTCTTATCTTCTGTTCCCCCTCAGCAGGGCAGCAGCAGCAGCAGCAGCAGAGCTTCGATCTCTTGGTGATTGGTGGGGGATCCGGTGGCCTTGCTTGTGCCAAGGAAGGTATGTATTTTGTATTTTGTGTCCCTTCTGGTGTGTAGGGGCCTTGAAGCTTTCAGTTCTCCTAGGTGAAGGTGGCCTTGTGGGGATAGGCCATATACCCAGAAGCAGATGCCATGCAACAGACATTTCCTGTAATCTGGAATCCACATAGATCCTGAATCTGGTCTCTTCTGAGAATGGCATAGTCCCATCCCTATTTGTCTTAAATTTATTTTTGTTACTTTTAAATTACATTGGTATGTCTCTATGTAGGGGTATGTGATTGTGAGTGCAGGTTCTTGCAGAGTCCAGAAGAGGGCACCAGATCCCCTGGAGCTGGAGTTACAAGTCGTGAGCCAGGGGACATGAGTGCTGGGAATTGAACTCAGGTCCTCTGCAAGAGCAGTGTGCTCTCTTAACTACTGAGCCATCTCTCTAGCTCCATATTTTGTTTTTGTTTCTGAGATGGAGTCTCACTTTAATGACATAGACTTGACAGACAATTGACCAATACATATTTAAAGTGGATAACTTGAGGCTGGGCCTGGTCATGAATGTCTGTCATTCTGGCCATTCAGGAGGTTGAGGCAGGAGGATCACTTGAGTCTAAGAGCTTGAGATCACCCTGGGTAACAGTGAGACTCTGTTTCAAAGTAAATAAGTAAATCAATAAAAATCAAGTGTTCAGTCTGGCAGGTGGGTGTATCTGTGAGACCTGTACTGTGGTGAGGATGGTGACTGTCCCTGATGCCTCTCACCAGTCTGTGGGCTGTGGTTCTGGATGCCAGCAGTGTAAGACCAAGTGTCAGCAGGACTGGCTCCTTCTGGCTTCCTTCCTTGGCTGACAGGTGGAGTGACTCCCCTGTATCTGTGCCCTAATCTCTCCTTACAGAACCAGTGAGTTAGATAAGGGACCACCTGTGGCCCAGGTTAACTTATCTACAAATGTAGTCATCGCCCTTGGCTCTAAGGTTAAGACTCTAGCATGGATTTGGGTGTGTGGGGGCGGAGACAAAGCTCAGGCTATTACAATGTCCAGCTTCCACACACCATGGTAATGCCTTCCAACCTTTCCTCTCTACATCTGGAGGCAGTCACTGGCCTGCTTTTTTCCTCTGTAGGTTGCTTGTCATTTGCTAAGGTGTGTGCAAATGGAAGCCACTCTGTGCACTTGACTACTCTGTGTCACTAGTTTTTACTATTTGTTGTTACTGTTTTTAATTGTGTGTGTCTGGATGTGGGCATGTGTACACATGTGCAGGAGCCTTCAGTGGCCAGAGATGTCCAATTTCTCTGGGACTGGAGTTGAAGCTTGTAAGTTCCCTGACATGACTGCTGGGAATTGGACTTGAGTCCTTCAGAGGAACAGTATGTCCTTTAATCATTGAGCCATGTCTCCAGGCTCCAGTCTTATCCATTCACCAAGTGTATGTAGTTTGTTCTTATTTATTACATTATGACAGTACATGATAGATCGTATCTTGTTTGTCTGTTCACCAGCATGTGGGCATTTGTTCTTTTTTTAACTGTGTATGACTGTTTTGCCTGGGTATATATGTGTGCATTGTGTGTCTGGTGTCTGTGCCCACAGAAGTCAGAAGACAGTGTTGGATCCCCTATAACTGGAGTTAGATATTTGTGAGCTGCTGTGTGAGTGCTGGGACCAAACCCTGCTCCTCTGTAAGAGCAGCCAGTGCTCTCTGCTGCTGAGCAATCTCTCTGATCCCTGGTGTACATGTGTGTGTGTCTTCACCTCCAAATATAGTCACATTCCTTGGTACTGAGGGTTATGACTGACGTACGTATTTTAGCAGGGAGGATACAGTTCAGCTCATTACTATTCCTGGCTTCTTTTCCCTTTGTTTTGTTTTGTGTGAGACAGGTTCCAGTGTGGCCCTGGATGGCCCGGAACTTGCTATGTAGCTGAGCCTGGTCTTGAACTCCTGATCTTTTTGCCTCAACTTCCCAAGTGCACTTGCTGCTATTGCAGATGATCTGGTTTTGGTTCCCAGCACCTATGTTAGGCAGCTCACAACTGCCTGTGACTCCAGTTACAAGGGACCCAATATCTTCTGGTCTCCATGGGCACCTACATGCATGTGGTGCCCCACCCCCCCACACTAAATTAATTACACTTTTTGCCAGTTGTGGTGGTGTATTCCTTTAATTCCAGCACCCAGGAAGCAGAGGCAGTTGAATCTCTGTGAATTAGAGACCATCCTAGTCTATATAGTGAGTTCAGGGTCGCTAGAGCTACATAATAGAGAGACCTTGTCTCAGAAAATCAAACAAATAAGTAAAAATAAAAATAAGAGGTTTTTTGAGACAGAGTCCCATTATGTAGCCCAGGCTAACTTCGGATTCTGAATCCTTCTTCTGCCTATGCCCCGAAGTTCTACGGGTACAGGTGCACCTCATTGCTTACCTTACAGTATTTGGTGTTTCCTGTTGCTCTGTCAGAACATTCTAACCAAAAGCCACTTGGGGAGGACAGGGTTTATTTGACTTGTGCTTCCATGTCACAGTCCATCACTGAGGGCAGTAGGGCAGGAACTCAGGGAGGAGCCTGGAGGCAGGCACTAGGCCACTGAGGAATACTGCTTACTGGCCGGCTCCCCCTGGTTTGTTCAGCTACATTTCTTATACACAAGACCATGGCTAAGGGTGGTACTGCCCACAGTGGGCTGGATCCTTCTACATCAACAACTAATCAAGAAAATACCCTCACAGGCTTGCCTATAGGCCAGTCTGATAGAGGCATTTCCTCAAATGAAATTCCCTCTTCCCAGATGACCCTAGCTTCTATAAAGCTGACAAAAACTAGCCAGCATAATTGGCCCCTTGTTATTCTGACACACAAAGATATTAAACCGTAAATTTCCTGTTATCGCCAAGGTCTCATATTCATATCACAATATAAAAATTAATACATTTTTAAAAGCTCCACAGTCTTATGTCAATACTTTAAAAGTCCAATATCTCTTTAAAAGTCCAAAATCTCTCAGCTGTGGGATCCTGTAAAATAAAATAAAAAAATTACATACTTATTATTCCAAGAGGGAAGAACCTGGGCACAGTTACAATTAGATCAAAGCAAAATCAGCATGCAGCAGCGTACATCAAATTCCATAGTTCTTTGTTCAAGGTCTGGGGCTCATGCATGATCTCTCCACTCAGGAGGGCTTAAGCAGCTCTGCCCTCCATAGCACACATAGGATCCTCCTCTCCAGCCCCACCTTCCACAGCACACATAGGTTTTGTAGGGTCAGGCCAGCTCCACTCCACACCTGCTGTTGTCCTTGGAAGTCATCCCATGGTCCTGACATCTCCAGTATGCTAAGGTATTTACTACAACCGAGGCTGCACTAATGGCCTCCAGGTATCTCTTAAGAGACTCTGACTCTGCCACATGGTGCCAAGCTTCAACTTATCTCCATGACTCCTTCAGTCCTATGGCTTGCATGTCCCCCCCCCCAAACCAGCACTGTGTGGCATGCTCTTATACATTACCAAGTTTAGCTGCTAGCTTGAGATACAGTCTTGGCCCCTTTGGACCACAGCTTCTGAATGTTGAGCCATACGAAACACCTCCTGAAAGATTTTTGCTGGTCAGTGATGTTGGTCTCTTCTTACCTGATTTCTCATCTCCAGCTAACCAGCATATAATGTCCTAGTAAGGCAAAGATTTCATTTCAGAAGTGCTGGATTCTTCATCCCCAACTGACCAGAAACCATAGTCTTAATTCAAATATATCACATGAACATTGCTGATTGTCTTTGAGGGACTCTCAAACTTCCTTCTGAAACATCATAAGCCAGGCCTTCATTTTCTGCATTTCTCCTCACACTCTTATCTTCCAAGCTTCCACAGAACAGCCATTTAAGTTTTCATTTAACACTCAATGGCCTTCCAGCCTGAAGTTTCAAACATTTCTACAATCCCCGCCAAAACAACATGGTCAGATCTTTACATCAATCTCTTACAGTCCTGATACTGGTTTCTGTTTCAATTGAGTATTGCTATGATAAAGCATTCTGGTCAAAAGGAACTTGGGAAAGCTGGGTGGTGGTAGTGCACACCTTAAATTCCAGCACTCAGGAGACAGAGGCAGGCAGATCTCTGTGAGTTCCAGATCAGCCTGGTCTACAAGAGCTAGTTCCAGGACAGCCCCCAAAGCCACAGAGAAACCCTGTCTCGAAAAACAAAACAAAAAACCAAACAACCTCCACCCCCAAAAAAAGGAGCTTAGGGAGCAAGCTTACACTGAACATCCAAGCCTGCAGTAGGTGGGAGTGGGAACTCTGGGAGTAGGCACCCCTCCTAGCACTGCCTCAGCAGGTGTTGTGAAGGCTGGAGTCTGCAGAAGCTGAGGGCTCCTGCCTGCAGGTAGCAGGCTGCATGGGTACCGGGAAGGGCTGGTGCATGGACAAGGGGAGGGGGCAGCATGCCCACTTGGCCCTGTGCTCAGTGGTTGGCCTGAACCCCCTGCCTCCCCCTGGGCCTCGTGGGCGCCTGGGAAGCTCCATGCCAGTTTCCTGCTCAGCTCACCTGCAGATGTCTTTGTCATTTCAGCTGCTCAGCTGGGAAAGAAGGTGGCAGTGGCTGACTATGTGGAACCTTCTCCCCGAGGTAGGCAACCTGGACAGAGCCATACAATCTAGGGAAAGGGGTATGGAGTAGGAACACAGCTCACACTCAGCTTACACTGAGCGAATTATTCCCTTCTGCCCCAGTCTCTCTACAGTGTCCTGTTCAACATACAAACATTTCTATAAAATTATTATTTTAAAAATGACTGATGGGGTGCTGTTGGAGAGATGGCTCAGTGGTCAAAAGCACTGCTGCCCTTCCAGAAGACTGAGGTTCGATTCCTATCATCCACCTGGTGATGCTCTAACTCCAGTCCCAGGGGATCTGACACCCTCTTCTGGTGTCTGTGAGTACTGCACCCATGTGGTTCACACACATACATGTGTGCAAAACACGCATATTCACAACATTATAAATGTTCAAAAAAATTTTTAAAGTGACTTGAGTATAGACATAGGGAACAAATCCACGTGTGAAGGCTCCCCTGGGCCAAGTTCAGGTCATAAAATAGTAACCCCCTAAAGGCATTCTGAGCCTGTGGAGTGGGAAGCCTCTTGCATTCTCCCACATTCCTATCAGGGCCTGGCTGATTTGGTGACAGAACCCTTCCCTGGTATGTGCAAAGACTTGGGTTTTGTCCCCTGCAACACACATACATACACATACATGCTTTTTCTGATATTCCAGGTACCAGGTGGGGCCTTGGTGGCACCTGTGTCAATGTGGGTTGCATACCCAAGAAGCTGATGCATCAGGCTGCACTGCTGGGGGGCATGATCAAAGATGCTCACCACTATGGCTGGGAGGTGACCCTGCCCATCCAGCACAGCTGGTGAGGAGCCCTGCGTGTGGGGTCCCCTGTCTACCACTTATCTGGGGGGAGCAGCTCTAGTTGTGGCTCAGCTGGGGGCAGCTGAAATAGCTGGCATTCTCCAGACACTTCTGGTGCCACTGGAGGAAGAACATGCTAAATTCTCACCACCTAGCTCCCAAATAAATCACACATGTGGGGGCTTATTATTACTAATAAACACCTACCTTGTCGTGTTTCTAGCCAGCTTTTCTTAAATTATCCCATCTACCTTTTGCCTCTGGGCTTTTTCCTTTTCTACTTCTGTATATCTTACTTTCACTTGTACTCTGTGGGTGTCTGGGTGGCTGGCCCCTAACATCTTCTTTTTCTTGTTCCTCCTCCCCTCTCCCACATTTCTCCTTCTATTTATCCTCTCTGCCTGCCAGCCCGGCCTATCCTTGCTCCTGCCTCGCTATTGGCCGTTCAGTTCTTTACTAAACCACCAGGTGTTTTAGACAGGCAAAGAATCACAGCTTCACAGAGTTAAACAAATGCAGCGTAAACAAAAGTAACACACCTTAAAGTAACATTCCCCAATGAGAGAGCCCAGCATTCTGCAGCCCCAAACTCTGGTCAGAAACAGGGTAGCCCTGGAGGGTGAGTGTCAGACTTCAGCGCTTTAAACACATCTGCAAACTGGGAATGGTGGTGTACACCTGTAGTCCACACTTGTAGTCGGGGACTCAGAAGGTTGAGACAGGAGGATCTTAAGTTCAAGGCCAGCCTGAGCTACTTAGCAAAATCCTGGCCAACTCCAAAAATAAAAGAAAGTTAAATAACCACACCTCTGTTTCCCAATATTCCTGAGTCTCCTTTCGCTGCCTGGATGAACTCTGTAGCCAACTCTGCTGCTGTGGATTTCATGGGTTTTTATGTGTGTTAACAGGAAGAAAATGGCAGAAGCCGTGCAAAACCATGTGAAGTCCTTGAATTGGGGTCACCGTGTCCAACTTCAGGACAGGTACTGAAACTGTCAGGACTCAGTGGCCATGTGATGTGGCCCTGGGAGGACCACCCTCCTGGCCTTGCAGTTTGTACCTGTGAAAATGTTTACTGTGTAGCACAACCACCGGCAGCGATAACAGAGTTCTCTGCCTCAGTGGGGAAGAAACTGGTCAGTGCTGTGGGAAGAGGGGGTGCCCCAGAGACCTTGAACTGAGGAAATGACAGCACTGAAAGGATATGCTAGCTGAATGACTGGAGCTGGGGGGAGAGTGAAACAGGCAGCAGAAGCCTCGGACTGAGCCTGTGGATGTGACTGGACTGATAAGCAGTGAGGAGCTGGCCCTGTACAGGATGCATCCCTTAGGTAGGCCACTGTGGCCCTCCACAGTTGGGAGGACAGAGCCTGGTGAGCCCTCAGGCAAGCAGCAAAGATCATGAGGGGCAGGAGGGTGTTTCCACTTCTTTTTTGTTGTTGTTTTGTTTTTGTTTTTATTTGTTTGTTTTTTGAGACAGGTTTTCTCTGTGTAGCTTTGGAGCCTGTCCTGGAACTCACTCTGTAGACTAGGCTGGCCTCGAAATTACAGAGATCCACCTGCTTCTGCCTCCTGAGTGCTGGTACTAAAAGTGTGCGCCACCACTGCCTGGCGAGTTTCCGTGTGTGTGTGTGTGTGTGTGTGTGTGTGTGTGTGTGTGTGTGTTTGG